TGATATCGTTTTTGCCACCAAAGGTTCTCCTACGAATCTTTCCGCCGATTGTTACTGGCCCCACGGTTATGCTAATTGGTATCCATCTTATCGAGAGTGGTTTCAAGAATTGGATGGGAGGCAGCGGACCCTGCGCCAATCCTGCATCTGCAGGCGACCAAGCCAGCTTTTTTGCTCTCTGTCCGAATATCGGATCGCCACACGCTCTGCCATGGGGATCCCCGGAGTATCTTGGTCTAGGATTCTCAGCCTTCATCACCATTATCCTCTGCGAACGATTTGGATCCCCAATCATGAAGTCTACCTCTGTCATCTGGGGACTCCTTGTAGGATGTATCATTGCAGCAGCATGCGGGTACTTTGACCGGAGTGGGATCGACTCGGCTCCAGTCGCGTCGTTTATTTGGGTACACACGTTTCCTCTCACTGTTTACGGGCCGCTTGTTCTGCCCATTATGGCCGTGTTTATTATATGCGCCACGGAGGCTGTGGGCGATATCACGGCGACCTGCGATGTCTCCCGCATCGAGATGGAGGGACGTATTTACGAGTCCCGTATCCAGGGTGGATTGCTTACAGACGGCATCAACTCCGTCATTGCTGCTATGATGACCATGACGCCTATGAGCCGATTTGCTCAAAACAACGGCGTAATTGCCCTGACGAGATGTGCAAACCGCAAGGCCGGCCTTGCCTGCTGCTTCTTCCTCATCATCATGGGAATTTTTGCTAAATTCGCCGCAGCCCTTGTTGCAATCCCTTCCGCTGTCCTGGGTGGCATGACGACATTTCTTTTCGCAGCAGTGGCAGTATCCGGAATGGCTATCATCGCCCGCGGAACCGACTTCAATCGACGCACTCGCTTCATACTCACCACGGGATTGGCTCTGGGCTACGGCGCAACCCTCGTGCCCACCTACTTTGATAAGATTTTTGCTTATTCGGGCGACAACCACGCTCTGAAGGGCTTCCTCGATGCCGTTGTTCTTATTATGGAGACGGGGTTCGCGGTGACAGCAGCGGTCTGCATGGCACTCAACCTGGCATTGCCTGAGGAGATGGAAGATGAAGATGTCAATGTCCAGACAGTGGAGCTAACAAGAGGGAGCACGCCTCCCGGCAAGGGCGAAGTTGCTGAGGAAAGAGGAAATCCAAATAGCGTGTTATAAGGGGCGCATGATGAAAAGTATAGGAATTGAGTGTGAATAGATCTATCTTATGGGAAAACAAGAATCCTGGTACCCTGGAGCTTGGGAGAAGGAGTCTTCGAGGACTGGGAAAAGTTAGCATTACATCCTCACTACCCTCTGCAATGAGGATAAACATGCTCATGGTGTATTACGTGGTTATTTACGGTTCCCTAGCCTAGGTACGGCTAAAATACAGTGTTACTAGATGTCCTGCATCTAGCCCTTTATTTTATTTCATTTTTAATTAACTCAATATCCTCACTACGCACGTACCAACCTAATCCTGGACGGAGTTGAGTATATTGCCACTGACGGGGCATGGAGTCTAAATAATTATCCGCTTCGAAACCCAACCAACTGAGCGCATGCCAGTCGTGTTCACCACTCGAGATTCGGTGATTATCATCCCACCCAAAACAAAGATTGCCCATGCACAAGAACACCATGTTTTCTTCCATTAGTCTGCATTTCATCTCGATAACACATTGAGGAAGCGGGACGAATTGTTAGGCAAAGCGGATTAAATTGGTGGCTGACGCTGGCAAGCAACCGGAGCCGGCTGTAGCTTCCCGCTTTACCCCTTTAATATGATATATATATGAGGCCGTGCCCGTGTCTTATTAATTGAGGGTAAAATACTCCCATTACCCTGCGCTGTATCGATGCATGCCCCAGTGTCTTCCGCCAATATCAGCCAAATATCACGGCATGAATGACAAACCCACCGGCAAGTCTGAGAGAAGGAAGAAAAAAAAGAGAATGAAAGGTCATGTGCATCATCCCGTGTTTCGCAATCGACAGTAGGTTATGCCCCTCTTCATGCCCCCAAATTTCCGTCATGAGTGGCGTCTGACGGGACCACACCATCTGCCGATGGGTATTTGCTGGCGCACACACAAAAAAGAGATGGCAATTTTAACGTTTGGCATGGGCAAAAACCGTTTTCTGGATTTTGCGCTCTAAATTGCCACCGCCGGACAGGAACCTCCGTCCACGCCTGCTCCCCCGGCCGGTCTCTGCCAAGGCGCAATACTGGCCACTGATTGCTCTGCCCTGGCCCGCTTTACTTCACACTTGCCTGATCAGTAATACACATACCAAGCAGGTACCTAGGTAGTTACCTACTGTACGTCGGGATCATCCCTTTTGTACTCCGTACCTCACACTATCACTATCCAATGACACGCCAGTCCATGGCCGAGGACTGCACACTGCCCATACAAGCCGGACGTGGATAATGTTGCCTCAAACAAAGATGGGGAGGAGAGGGGCTCCTGGGACACAAGACCCTTTCCATTGCGCTGGCCATGCCTTGGAAGAATGGCTGCTTACTTACATAAATAGGAACCTGGTGGGCAGATGATGATGGTTGCTAGTCAAGAAATGGTCAAAATGGAGTGAACCTATGACTTCTGCACCCCCCAATCTCCCAAGCGCCCTCCCTTTTTTTGCTGCTGGTTCCTTCCTCGAGGGATTCTCGTACATGTGTCAACCAGTGTCTTTCTGAATCATAGAGTCGCACTTGGACCTGCCCGTGGGGAGCCCAAGGAGTTCCTGGACTGGATTCCCCCAAGATTATGGGGCTCGATTCCCGGGAGTCTTTTCAAGTTCCGAGGATCGAAATTCCCAACTCGGCTCCGTTCATCCTTCAACTCACCATCGAATACCCCGTTGAGCCGTTGATCCGCCGTCACAGAACCCCAGTTGGCCGGTTGGTCGTTGCGAGACGTCCCGTCTAGCCCTTTCAAAGACGGGGTTATGAATACAATCACCACTTCACCCACGACTGGTGACCTTACTGCCCCGACGACCTCGCCTACCTCGCCTACCTCGCCTACCAACTCATCACCCTTCTCCGCCACGGCCAAGAGCCACCGTCCTTCTGACGGTGCTGCTGTCGCCAGTGGAAGCGGTATAGGTCTTGCTGCTAATCGACGTGCGAGTTCCTCTGCTGGCTCTGGCTCTGCTACCAAAGCCCGGTCGTCTGCCCGTGGCTCACGTTCCAGCTCGTCCAAATCTACGCGAACCGAAGGATCTCATTCAGAGCCCAGGCCGCCCCGAATTGTGTACGGTCGCGGCACAATAGAACGTCTTCCTACGGAGCTTAGCCGCTTGCGTGCGTCCTCGCCATTAATCGTCTCGAGTCCATCAAGAGTCGCTTTAGCCCGACGCATTCAGAATCTCATCCCGAACCTTAACTCGCGGATCCTCGACTCGGCCGTTGTTAACGTACCAGCTCGTGTTGTGGACGACGCAGTCTCCCGTATAGACGATCGGGACGTCGTCATCAGCGTCGGAGGAGCCTCGGCTGTTGGGTTGGCCAAAGCTATTGGATGTCGCAAGGGTATTCCTCACGTTTGCATTCCTACAACATACAGCGGATCCGAAATGATGCCTCTGCTCCTTGATGCGTATCCCGCAAGACACAGCAACATGGGAGATATAGGTAGCAGCAGCGACGGTGGCAGTAAGTCAGGTGGTCGCCCTCGCCGCGAGCGTGAGCAGGGCTCGTCCTCATGCCGCAGCAAGGGAGCACGCACCACTTCCTTCCGTGACCCGAGAGTTTACCCTTCGGTCATTATATATGACGAAGATCTCGCAACGAGCTTGCCCAAGCGAATATCTGCACCCACTGATGAAGCAGCCATGGCACGATCAACTGAGCTGCGGAAAGAAGACGAGACCTCGCAATGGAGCTATATCCATCTCCCTGGTGTCTAAGGTGAGGTATCGGCTATATCTCCATAAAATTGGGATAGTGTTAGGATTTATTTCACGGACAGTTCTTTCGCGCCGAACTCGCCTAGTTTTGCGAAGCCAGCCAGAATCTGAAAATAGGGTTTGTATCATTCTGCTACAGGTTTCGCTTCTGACAGCGTATGCGATCTGGCTGAGTTGATTTCTGTCAAGAAGAGGTGATGAATACAAGGACTACAATAGGAGCCCGCCTCCCATGTCCTTGCTCCAACTCTTGACAACACACCTATCCGCTGGAGTTCGGTTTTGTGATGTTTCAGCAGCCCGCATAAGCTCTGCCGCAGAATTTTTGACCAGAAACAGCTCCTGACATCTATCCTAACCTCACCGCAAATTGCAACGGATGGCACACTCCCCAAAATGCTGTCTTTTCTTTTCTTTTTCCTTTGCTGTCACTGGATGAAGTCGGTATTTTGAAAGCAGGGTCGCTTTCACTTAGCTTGTTTTATTGCATACGGCCAAACGGAGGCATGAAAGGGGCTAAATAACAGCTGCATGGCCGAACAAGGTCCCGGTTTCTGAGACAGCGTGACCAGGCCACAAATCTTAGAATGGGCATTTTCAACAACAGTCGACGTACACGCAGGTGGACAATGGTACTACTTACATCTTCACTACAATGTCCTTGGCTGGAGTTGGAAGTCATTTACGAACATATGGGGTAACTGACGTAACACATTACACTAAGATAGCAAGGGACAGGGGGGAAAAAATTGTACAATTCAAATATGCAATGAGGATATATTGAGTGTATTTCTAGGTTTTATCTAGTTTCGTGACATTAGTACAAAATGGCAAACTCGTCTCAACACCACTCCTGTTACATTCTGGTAAGAGGCGGCAAACGTATTCCGATGCCAATTAACCTATAGCAGAGGCGGGCGGAATGATTACCTTTGGCGCGCTTGCATGGCTTTACCCCTATATGCAAACTCTGCTTTTATTGCTGCTATCAATTCTTGCTACTGTACATTTAAAAACGCCACATCTGTAAAATTTGATTGCATTCCGCCGAAACTAGAAATCTCATCTCGTAGTTTTTAGATTCTATTATCAATCGAGTCCCTCGAAGCCCAGGACTCCATGCGCGCCCATAGGACCAAGCTTGCTCTTCTGAATCTCCTTGCGTCGCTTGGCCCGGCGCTTCATTTCCTCCACGCCGTCATCCTCACTATCATCATCGTCGTCGTCGTCACTGTCATCGGCGGCGGGTCGCTTGCTGTTGCTTTCTCCCCCGTGATTCTCGTCATCATCACCTTCATCCAAGTCTTCGTCGCTGTCTCCGCCCTGCAACTCAGACAGTTCCTCCCACACTTTGACGGTCTTGCCGCCAGCGCTGATCAGCCGGTTGCCGCAGTCGAAACCTAGCGATATAACGGCCTCCATGTCGTCGTGTCGCAGGTTTGTAGACCTGTCAACCTCCCTCTTGACCAGGTCGACGATGCGTAGACTGCCGTCGCCAACGCCGCACACCACTTTCTTCCCTAGACCCATTTCGTGGGGAATTGTAACCATGGCGTCGATGCTCTCGCCGCCTCCTTTGCCACCATCAACAATGATTCGTTCCTGCTGGTCGTCCCATGATCCCTTGTCCCAGAGCGTGAGCACACCGCTTCCGGAACCAATTGCTATCACGCCGTTATTGCGCTTGGTCTTGGGTCCCATCCCAGGCATGAAGCATGCACTAAGGAGCTCGTCTTCTTGGTCCTCGCTGCGTACCAAGACACCACGACGAACATCGGTCACTGCAAGCGTAGTGCCGCCCGTGCTGACCCATTGTTTCGAGAACCCGCTCGTGCTTTCTTCCGACGGCGGGAGAGGTGTGATGGACGAGACGTAGTCGGAATGGGGGAAATGAGTCTGCGCTGGCTTTTTCCCCGGCGCGCCGTCCCGCAGATCGACGATATGAAGAGCTCCAGAGTCGGTCGCCAGTAAAAGACTTTGCGGATTGAGAACATGCAGCAGTGTTGGTGCGTCCGGGACAGAGGTGGTGCTCGGGATTGCGATTTTCGAAATTACCTTTCCGTTGCTTGGGTCGAAGTATTTGACTAGGGAATCGGTTCCGGCAGAATACATGGCTAAGCGACACCCGTTAGCTCTCTTCTAAGCCCTGCAGAGGGGACAACCAAGACATACCCTGGCCGTCATGGCTATATGCCAAGCACCTGCAGCTTCCTTTGTGTCTCCTCGTCTTCCAGACAGTGTCGACCATGCCCTTCCCGCCGCTCAACACGCTGCTATCCGCATCGGCATCGTCCTCAGAGGCGTTGCTTGGTGGCAGTCGAAACGTTTCCACGTGGCCGTTGGATAAACCTACGGTGAGAAGCGGTTCGGTAGGGTGCAGAGCTGTTGTGAAGACATCCGACTGCAGCGGCAGCGTGCAAAGGTTCTCGAACATGGCGGCAGGGATAGCTTCGTCGCAACGTGGATCTGGTTCGAGGAAGTCTGTGAACAGCACAGGTTGAAGAGAAAATTTGGTGGAATATCCCTTCGGTACCTTCTTTGAGATACTCTCGAAGTACTTGCGTCGGAAAATGTTGCCACGGTGCTACTATGTTCGGACAATTGGACTGTTTTTAAGAGAACTCACTGTTGAAGGAGGATTTTTTTATAATTGAGCTCCAGCCATCTCGACGTCAGAGGTGCAGCCCACTTTAGCCATTGTACGTACAGTCCAAAAGTGGACTGGACAATCTATTCGCACAGTACGTGTGCCGGCTACTACAACCGCAGCAACTGTGGTTACACATTTCGGCTCGGATGTCAAGACAGTCACTTCTTTCATGAGCCAGGTATTTGAGCTCATTGTGTTTAGCGTGATCATAGCCCAAGATTCCATGATATATATCTGGCGCTGGAAGACGATACTGGCCATTGGCAATTAATTCACGGCATTTTCGGGGATAAGGACTGGGTATTGAAGGCGGGAGACTCGTGTGCAGTTTGGAGAAGGTTTGGCAATGGAAGTTCTATCAATATGGGCGGTAGCCTGGTTCTTCATTCTGTCCACCATGGCAGCATCGACACACGAGCCCTTTGCCCCTCGCTGCGTCATGTATCTTACGGGGTAAGCTGTGCCGTCGCAATGCGCAAACTGTCACAAAGCGACTAACAATCACCACAGTCAGCATAATGTGGTCCCATCAGACCAGGAGCTCACGAAACATATTACGCATGTTGTACTCGCCTTCATGAGATCTGACGTCTTTAATTCGGACCAGCAATCCCCGGAATTCCCTCTCTTCACAACTGTGGGAGAGGTCCGAGAGAAATTTCACCATGAAACGAAGGTCATGGTCGCCGTTGGTGGTTGGGGAGACTCTAAAGGGTTTGAGGAAGCAAACAAGGACGCCAAATCCAGGGAAAGGTGGTGCGAGAATGTCAAAGAGATGATTGACCTGACTGGTGCGGATGGTGTCGACATCGATTGGGAATACCCTGGGTGAGTTTCTCCACGAGGGAGCAGCGTCCCGTATCTTCTCAAACTGACAAGAGTCAAAATTCAGCGGCAACCGCGACGACTACAAGATTATTCCAAATGAGAAGCGCAAGTGGGAAATTGAAGCCTTCGTGCAGCTGTTGACAGACTTGCGCGTCGCCATTGGCCGCGAAAAACTACTATCGATTGCAGTCCCGGGCCTTGAACGAGACATGATGGCGTTTACGGAAGAGACTGTACCCAGAATCGTCAAACAAGTCGATTTCATCAACGTCATGACCTATGACTTGTTGAACAGGCGTGACACCTTGGTCAAGCACCACAGTGGTGTATCTGCGTCCCTGGAGTCAATCGAATCCTATATGGCACGGGGAGCTTCAGCTCAACTGCTCAACTTGGGGCTGGCTTACTATGTAAAATGGGCCATGACTGAGGAGTGTGATCCAGGCCACCCATTGAGTTGTGCAACACAACTTTTGGAAGATCCAGAGACTGGTGCTGATCTGGGCAGAACCGCTGCCTTTAGTTGGCATGACAAAATACCAGAGGAGTTGGAGAAATCCTTCTCTCGAGCCGTGACGGATGGCAAGTACTTCGAAGACGGCAGTTTTGGCTACCTGGACGTTGAGGAGACACGATGGTGGACGTTTGATACGCCGAGCGTCATTCATCGCAAGTTCGAAGACATTGTGAAGGAAAGGAGACTCGGAGGTGTGTTTGCATGGGGCCTAGGCGAGGATGCCCCGGTTTTCTCTCACCTGTCAGCAACGCTGCATGAACTCCAGAACCTGACAAGGGACGGCATGGGAGAAGCAGCAAGTAAAGATGAACTATAACTGTCGAAACTGCGTTGCTACTAATGCGGCGATGCCACGAGATATGCTTCTTCAATCGGCTTGGACCATTCTGACGAGATTCGTCCTTTGCTGGCAAGTGGAGAGGGTGGATAGGCGCTGAGCCTGTAATGCAACGCTGCTTTAAACTGACAAGCCTAGGGATCGTCGTCACTCGGGTTCCTGGATGAACTGAAATCATTTCAAGAATTTCGCCCTCGTGCTCGCATAAAGCTGAGTCATGATCGAGTTGACAAGGTGAGTTGATATTATTGTACCTAGGATGTTTTAGCTACTGTTCAAGCAAACTGCGCAATGCTTGACTGGTATACGATCCCGAGATGGCGTTCTGAAGATTAACTTTTACTGAGAGCATCCCACGTGGCAGCATGTGAGACCTGCAACGGGCCCAAAACTTATCTACCCGTCAGCGACTAAGTGGACGATCCACTTAGTCAGCCACAAAAATATGGGACAGTTATAAAATACTAGGATAGCTGTTACTTACTTTTATTCTTTTTACTATTAATTCACCTATTAAATATAATTATTAATTAATGTATAATTATTTAAAATTACTCTTTTTTATTATACTTAACCTATTTAAGAGTAGCTTTTTACCCTTAATAATAAAGGCTATTAATTTAATAATATAATTAAAAGCGCTTAAGTAGCTTTATTATATAATAATAATATTATAATAATAACCTTAAATATTTATATAATAGGCTATTAAACGCTTTAAAGTTAATAAATTATTTATTTAATAAGCTATTAATACCCTTTTTATATCTTTTTAAGTGGTTTTTAATTATTTATAAGCTATTAATAATAATAAACCAC